TCCGAGAGTGAAAACGCAATATCAGTGATTCAGTATAAACAACACAGTACCCCTGGTGGGCCTTGAACCACTACAACGTAAGGAGGAGGTTCTCCGTAAGTACGATCAATAGTCGGAATATGAAGTCGCCGTTGCTCCTTCTCCGCAGAACGATTCTGTAATCGCTTCGCTTTTACAGCAGACTTAACAGCAAACGCCTGCACACAAAAACAAAAACCCAAAAGTAAATTCGATTGTTCCTTAAGAAACTTCTGAATAGACATTGAGAAGAAGAGATTGAGAGTAAGCTCACCCTAGGGTTTTTCTGCTTGGTATCGGTTACGCCTCGCTTCTTCTTGTCGATTTCAGCTTTCTTCCTCATAGTTGGACCTGATTTACGAGTCCTGTGCGACCTTTGAGAAGGCACCAAATCGTCCATGGCGTAGAGTGAGAGAAAAACGATGAAGAAAGTTTTTGGTAGCCGTCGAGGTGAAGATGATGAAAAACCCTTTTCTTTTGTTCTCCTCAGAGAACCCTTTTGTAATAAACCTCGAAATTTAGTCAAACCGGACACAGGATAACACGGTTCGATTTCATTTGGTACTCTATAGTAAATTAGTAATACTCACTCCGGTTCAATTTTTAAATGGTTTATGATATAGTCTAGGTTGCATAGAAACTCCACTCAAGGTCCGTTTTCTGTTTCGAAAATATTTCAAAAACGTTTTGGAAAAGAAAACGCGATGGAATCGCGGGGAAACGCGATGAAAACGTGTTTCTTAAAATATTCTAATTTGGAAACGTTTTGGAAATGCGGCCGAAAACGCGACTTTTGGTTACGGAAGCAAATTGAATAAATACTTTCAAAACATAAGGATTTGTTTGTTATTTTTACTAAGTTTTAAAATCTAATTATTAAACACTAATACATTCTTTTTTCTTTAATCGTCACGTAACCTAAAAAAATAGAAAAATCGAAGAGATAATCAAGATATTTTTTCTAATTACAGTAGATTTGTTATTGATTATTGAAATTGTGAAGTCGTATACATAAACGAAGTGTTTTTTGTTCGAGTCGGATTGGATTTGTGTTGTTTCAAATATTTTAAAACTATTGATAATTTTTGTTTCATGGTATATATTTTGTTTCATGATATATATATACGTTTCAAAAACGTTTCCACTTCCTCTTTTTCAAAGAAAAATCGTTTCCGCGTTTTCTAACATTTCGCTTCCACATTTTCGTTTCCGATTCCATGCAGCTTAGATTATAGTTTTCCCAATATTTTTATTAGTATTGTAGTTTTCCCAATATTTTATTAGTATTCAGTGTTTTTGTATTACATTTTTTATATATCTAAGTGAGTAGTTTAAACTACTTAATTACTACATAAATCATATAAAAACTATAAATATAATTTAGTTCAATTTTTGTAAAGAAAAAACATGTACCTGGTTTTTTTTTTTTAAACTAATTTTAGTTCAACCATGGATTTTGTGGGTTAATGACGGAAACAACCGTGACAATAATTGGATAATATATAAATTAAAGGAATCACACAAACTCAAATCACATACAAACTCAACAACAAATTACAGAAGGATATTCAACAACAACAACAGTTATTCCACACTCGAGAGTAGAATAATTATTAAGATATAGTAACATATTAAAGGCATAAAAGCTTCATATCAATTTGGATATAGTTCAAGGATCCAACAAGAATAAGCTCCATAAATAATCTTTGGCAGCTTGAATCCGGCTTTCATAGCCAAAACCCCAAATTCCTCTTTTGTTCTCTCTTTGCCTCCGCGCGTTACACACATCATAGCCACATCTACGCTCAATGAATTTTTTGTTGCAATATCACTCTCCGATATTTCCCGTGGTACTATCGTTTCGATTACAATTATTTTTCCAGTTTGTGGTAATGCTTTCTTACAGTTTTCAATATCTTCACACACTCTTCATCGCTCCAATCATAAATTATCCACTTAATCATGTAAAATAAAAATAATCTGATTAGTATCATCTCCTCAATTGCGAACATATATTCGTTTTTTCTCTTTTGCAAGTATTGTGAACTTGTAAAGTAGGTAGGTCCTTTTAAAAGAAAAACAAAGTAGGTAGGTGTGGATGGTAGAACCAAAATTGTGGATGGTAGAACCTGCACAGTCAATATTTGTCAAGAATTTCAAGAGGATTGAGTCTTCTAAGTACGAAATCACACACAAATGATTGAAGAAGATTCTTATTGTTGTTTCTGTCAAAGTTTAAAAATACAAGAGTTTCGGTGTAACGAATTGTGGATCTCTTTTTCAAGGGAAAGACAGTGATATATATATATAATAGACTAGGTTGGCTAGATCAACCCTAGAGTCGGCCGCGCCAAGTGGGTTTCGCCAACCTGCTCGGCCCATCTTACAGTGTCTTGGACTTGGCCCGCCTTGTTGCGTTCTGGACTCCACCTCGTTAGTAGGCCTTCCTTGTGGGTTTCTTGGTTATGTCAACCCATTTCTCTACTGAAGACTTGTTCTTCCCGCCTGGCAGCGTTTCCAGTCTCACCAAGCCTGCCATTTGTGCACGGTTGCATAATCCGCCTTGCCGGACATATCACTTTGTCAGACATCGGATAGATGGATTCATCCGATCGTTACCGACCTAGTTTAGCCTTGATCTTACCGGGATGGAATTCGACCCCTACAGTAGGTCCATTCGAACTAAAGTAAACAAGTAGTTAGGTTTTGAAAAAGTTAATTAGAAAGATGGAATTCATATTGATATACCTTCATTAGTATAGCTTGGCCTCGTGGAATTTGATCATCAAACATATCACCACCAATGTGTTCCACCCACGCCTACAAAAGAGTTAACTCAATCTTCGAAGAATTAGCTAACTAACGTTATACTAATTTATCTAGACACATTAGCGATAGACTTTTGATTATTGATCTTAAAAAGTCGCT